TAAAATAAACAATATATGGATATAATATTATCAAAATTGGGTGTTATATCGGATGTAGATCATTTTCTTGATATAAGAAAACTCGATCCGTTATCCGTTTTCCTTTTTCTTTGTCATGAAGAGATTAAAAAATATTCTTTTAATTTTGTTTATTTTTGAATTGATAACTGGGAAAATATAATGTTATCAAGATAAATTAAATCTTTTATATTCAATATTTAGATTGGTCGATTCCAAAAGTTCTATGACAATTGGTTCGTAAGGTTCAATGTACTGTACAAATATGAATAAATATAAATTGTGATATTTTTTAGTGCTAATAGATAATATGAATAATTCATAGATTATTATCTATAAATTAAAAAGTAACCTGTAGATTATTTTGTTATGATAATTATACTATACAAAGCTTCAGATATTTATTGTTCAATAAATTAAAAAGCTATCACTATCATAAATTCTATTCGAAAGAAAACACAGTGTGAACAAATCAATTCAAGTAGAATAAATTGAAACTATTTAAATTTAATACAGCACGAACCCATCATAATCTGGATGTCTGAATCCACGACTTCCTCCCATTATTTCATCAGCATAATTCTATTTGCAAAGCAGCATAGTTATTTACAATCAAACCCATTTATAAAATTATATTAAATATATTTAATTTTAATACGGCACAAACCCATCGTAATCTGGATGCCCGAATCCACGACATCCAACTATTATTTCAGTAAAAAAGCCTGTTATAGTTTGTTTTATTTCTTTTAAAATATACCAAATGCCAGATTGGTTGGCTTCAAAAGTTCCATAAACAATTGGCTCATAAGGATGGGTATACAAATATGAATGGCGAGATATTTTGACACTATTAATTAATCAAAATTAATATGAATTATAATTTAGTTTTAACAGTAAGATATATACTTACGTCCAAATAAATAAACCTATTAAAATCTCAATAAAAAGAATTATTAACAGAATTATATTATGTCTTGTCACAAGGTTTGTTTTCACGACATTTAATTGTGATTCTTTCACAAGTTTTACAGTTTTTAAGGTATTTAGATCTTGTGCCATGAAAATGATTTTTTTCTTCCAAATTTAATAAATTTGGCTCTCAGATTTTTGAATAAATATTAGAAAAAAAAAGGATTTCCTTTCTCTTAAATATAAAAATTGATGTAAGCGCATATAAATAATATTTTGAATTGAGTGACTCAATTTAAAATATTATTGAGTAACAGACAGATCAGATCACGGCGAATACGCACAAAATTAAGTCAAATATGAATTTATTGAACATTTACAAAAATTAATCATCGAAACAAGCCCTTTTGTAATAGCGCGCGAAGAATTGGAAATTATCTTAGTTTGTATGATTATGTTCTTAGCCATTTATTTCCGTTTACGAAAGTATTTCTTACATGTATGCGTAACAGATCAGCACTATATATATAATATTAATGTTATTATAAAAAATGCTGCATATCTTACAGAACTCAGAGTTTTCATTTTGCGGCGAAGGTAGCATAAATTAAGTCAAATATGAATTAATTATCTCCTTATTTGAACAACTTTATTTCTATAAAAAATCGAGAAAGGCGCCAATTATAATTAAGACAAAGACCTCAATAAATCTCATATTCCCATATTAATTTATTAACTTAAAACTTTACACGCTCATGAATTGCATAACAGATCAACAATATATTAATGCTAACTCTATCTTTAAAATGATGTATATCATAAGAATTCGGAGTTTCATTTCAATGTTTTGTAAAATAGATAATACGAATAATCATGGCAAAGAGCAATAATTATCTCCTTATTTGAAGTTCATTTACGAAAAAAACGTTATTAAAAGGAACATGAAAACGTTCAGCTCTTATTCAAATTTTAATCAAAATGATTTCAGAATAATTATTTCAGCGCTTTTAAGAATCGCTAAAGGAGTTCTTTACATCTTTGCCACTATCATATTGATTCTTTTATTAATAATTTCAATCTTATTTATTTCTAAATTATTTATTTTTTTAATTATAAATATAGTTTTCTCTTTATTATTTCAAAAAATTATTGAAAAAAACCCTCAGCATACGATTTTTAATAATAAACTTTCTTCTTTGCCAAAAATCCACCAAAGAATTTTTGATTCGGCATTATCTAGAAAAAAAATATATGTAAAAACACCTAAAAAAACCAATTTTGCGCATAATAAACTTTTTCAGCCAAAAATCAGCAATAGAATTTTAATTTCAATATTATCTAGAAAAAAAAATAAATGTTCGTTATTTATCATTAAAGAATTTTCTAATAAAAATGAAAACAAACATAATCATAAAAGAAGCAATAAAACTAAAAAATATTCATTGCAATTATTTTTTTTCACTATGGTCATTCCTTCCTTTTTTATTGGGTTCAAATGCCATTTAAATTATTGCTACAGTATTACGATTCTTTTTCTATCTCAAAATTTAGTTTCTCTAATTTTAACAACTACCTTAATTGTATTATTGCATTTATTTTATATCCAGAAATTGTCTATTCATTTTTTTTACCTCCTTATTTTTATCATTATCATTTTGAAAAGTTTTTTTATCATTACAATATTGAATTTGTTTATTTTCAATTCTAATTATTCCAATCATATAAAAAATAAAAAACTAAACGCTAAAAAAAATGATGATTTAAAATGATTAGACCTTTCATTAGAAAACTTATGCAATTTCACCATTACAGATGATAAAAAAAAATGCTTAGTTGAATCATTTAATAACTATTTGAAAAAAGATTAAATAAATGTTAAAAATTTTGATATAGATGATCTGAATTTAAACAAAGTCTCAGAGCTACATTGCCAACTATGCAATATTGAGATAAATTATTTACAACAAAAAGGTTTAGCCAATCTATTCAATCATCTTCAGTATTTTATTAAGGAATTCTCAAAAAGAAAAGATAATAACACTCGTCTGAAAGAATTGAGAATGAATGCAATTAAACTTGGATTATCATATATTAATCAAAGAGACATAATTATTGGTGATGAGATCTTTAGAGAAGTTATAAAAAAACAAAAGGATTGGTGTGATGTAAATGAATATTGGATAATAAGTTTTGTATTTTTAATACAAAAAACATGAATTGATATCAAGGTTGAAAAGTTTTGGTTTTATTTTAAAATTATTATAAATCATTTTTCCATTTTCGAAAGCATTATCCATCTTTACAATTCAAAAAACCAAAATATTTATTTATTTGTTGCGAAATCAAATTGGCAAATAATTGGCTTAATGATATATAATTTTGTCTGGCTTGAGAGACATGCACTTATCTTTACCATCTACCCTTTCGTCAAGGAGCAACTGAATTTTTGTGATTTAGTGAAAAATCAATTGATCCTGTCATTTATTTCAGAATAGAGGTTTATAACTAAAAACACAATTGATAAGTAATTTTTAAGTTTTCTTACGTAATAATTTTAATAAAGTAGTAACATTCTTTTCCTTAAAAATCTTGTTTGCATGGATTTTGCTATGAAATGACTTTTTCAAAATAGGTCATTTTATAGCAAAAGCCTGAATACTTACAATTCAAGACTGGTTTAGATGATGAAGCTCCAATCAATTTTCAGTTTATTATGGGAATCTTTTTGTTCGAGATGACAGGAGCTAATGGCCGTGATAAGTTCATGAGATTTTCGTTAGTCAGAATTGCTGGTGAAATTTTCTACAGCGATTCTCTCTCAGGCTTTTCAATATTGAGCACTAGTTTTTAAGCCATTTATTTGTCTGTTTATTTATTTTTTTGAATTAAATAACCTTTTATCAATATTGAATCTTTATTTTAGAAAAAAAATTTTTACACTTATTATAAACCTTTTATTCAAATTATAATTCTTGAAATAATTTTGATACATTCTATGCTTGTTGGGCTACGCCCAAATAGTATGTTGAAGAAAAGCGTAAAGAGTTAAAAATAGAGAAATAGGTTAATTTTATTAGTTCAATAAAATTTAAACTTTTTTTTATTCATTTAAATAATTTAAAATTTTACATTTTTCATATATTATATATAAATTGAAAAATTAAATATATGTAAGTTACAAAGAAAAAAGCACCAAAAATTAAATAATAATTTAAATTAAATCTATCATATTTATTATTTCTATCATCAAGTTATTTATTTTTATTGTTTCTTTAATGGCATCACATATTTTATCATAAGTTGTAATAATGATTTTTCTTTTGAGAAACTAGCTATTTGAAATGCTATTTTTCTTATATGAGTACATTTTAAAACTACCAAAAATCTTGCATCAAATTCTCCTCTTCTAATATCTTTAACATCTGAATTCCCCACTCTAACAGTTGACTCAACTTCAGTTACACTTATCCTATCTAATTATTATGATTAATTCAAATACTGCATTAAAATGAAATATTAAGAAACTTACCAATAGAACTTTTAAAATATGCTTTACATTGAAAAACAAATGTAAATCCGTTCACTTGGATTACTATGTCTTTACTACCATCTCCAGGTTTACTAAATTAATAAAATATTAATAAGCTTTGTTTCATAGCCAAAATACGTATTCTATTCACCAAGTTAATCCCAGAACAATACACATAGAAATCAAGCAACCAAGAAGAACGTTCTATTCCAACACATAGGCCACGAAGAGCTTTCAATTCTTGGATATTTTACGCTGACCTGGCAGCATAACTTCGAATACGAATAACTCGACAAAACATATAAGAAAATACTCAACCAGTGTGAACAATTTTGGTGCCTCAAACTTAACTTTTCAGTAGCCTTACACAAAACTTTTCAAATTTCTCCCCCAAATCTTTACTTGATTCTCCTTCAATTGGTTTGAAAACTTCATTTCGCATTTTTTTAAAAAAAATAAAAGTTAAATATACACCATCTTACCTATATTTAATATTATCTATTCCCTGAAAAAAAAGTGTATTGTTGTAAAAAAAAAAGTGTTTTATTCATGCAAAAAGAAAAAAAAAAATAACGTACAAAAAAGATCAATATTTTAACCTGTATAAAAATACTAAATTTGGTGCTAAATGAAATTAAATTCGGGTTATCTGCAAGTTTTTTACCTTTCCAGAAAATATCTATTTTTGTAATGAAAAAAAATCAAAAAGTTAATTCCAGCTGGAAATTAGTAAATAATTATGTAATGCAGGCCAAAATTTTGATTATTAGTTAATCTTAATTAGAATATTATTAAACAATTATAATTTAAATTTTTTTTTTACAAATTTCAGAAAAAAAAAAAAATTTAAGGTAAGAATCAATAATCCAACTATACGTTCTTTGAAATTCTTTTAAGATTTCCTGATAAAACAATTCTAACCGAAACAGTCTTATATCACATGACTTGACAGACCCACGAGTAGCAGTGATGCCACCAGCTAGTATGGTGCAGATGTGCGAGCCAATCATATTTAAATTTATTTTATATAAGTAAGCGTGTGTGTGTAATATCGATATAGCATGGCACGTGGATAAACTTTCTAAATAACTTAATTTCAAATGTACTACATATATGTACGAATGTGAAATCAAATTTTATTTATATAAATCAGAAAAAAAAAACTTTGTCACAGGATTTAGAAAACATCTATGTAGTGGTCACATAAGAATTAGAGAAGTAAAAATAAATAAGAAAAATATTAAAATTTTGATTAAGTAAACTAAAGTAAACTAATGTTCTAAACGTAAAGTCGGGTTTTTCATTTTTTCTCTGATTCCATAAACGTGAAATTTAATTGTTCCTGTTGTAGCTATTACAACAGTTAAATTCTTGCTTAATTTGTTGTAAATTACATCCTCGAGATTGAAAGTTACAACTTCTGTTTTTTCTTTTGAATTTAGTAATATAACTGAAGCAAAACTTGCTTTTATTTGTTTATCTGATTTTTTAAGAATTTTTTTTTTATTAAATTTGAAATTTGCATTTATATTTCCTCTAATCAAAATATTAAAGATAAATCTATTTTTATTTCTGTATATATGAGGGCAGACAGTTTTATATTTAGGCATTTTTAGTAAAGCAATTTTGTAGAGTGCAGATTTTAATGGTAAAGCTATAAGATTGTATAAAAAATAATATATTGATAGGCATGGATAAAAAGGGTTCTTTATATATTTACAGATATCTGATATCCGGACTCTTAGAGATGTGAACCGAACATTGAACAGATAATATAAATAATCTATAGATTACTTTAAACTGGTGAATATCCATAAATTTAAAGTAACCCGTAGATTATTTAAATTATTTAAAATTTACGGGTCACATCACTACGGACTCTTCATAATTTATACTTTAATTTAAAAAAAAAACAACTGAAATTATTAAAGTAAATACTGTAATATGCTGAATTTTAAATGTCATTAATTAACTTTATTATACTTAATATATTTGGTTAATATATGTTTCTATATTTAGCAGCCAAGTCATGACTTGTCCATAACAATCTCTGGTAATTGTTGCAAAAAAATCATTTCTGAAAAAGATGCCGAGTTGGATTTGAGAATATATAAGCCCAATCTATTTCACCCAACTCTCTTGCTTCAAAACATATTGAGCTTTTGGGATACTGATTTGAATAATTTTAAAGAATTTAAACATAATATCAGCTTTTAAGATTTTGAATTCTTTTATTTAATTTACAGTAAAATGGATAATGTTATTTTAATCTAATATTAAGAATTAACAAACTAAAATTTGTACAAAATGAAGTAAATTTTTTTAAAAAATGAAGATAAAATGGATTAAATATAGAACAAGATATAGTTAATTCTTCATCACTGGAAACTTTGCTGGAAGTGCACCTATTCAATATTTAAAAATGTTTTTGGAATTATCTGGTAATGTATAAAGGTATCGAGATATTTAATTTTTGATTTAATAATTTCAAAGTTACTGCTATTTTTAATAAATTAGTACCATATGTTGGCTAATAATGGATCAATTGAATTCAATTTATTTAAGAGTCTTTTTATTTCAGAATCGGCCAAAATTCTTCTTTTTTCTGGTTTATTCTTTAACCTTTGTTCTGAGTTTGTAAAATTTGTTCTGTCGATTGTTTCTGGAACTTTATTATCATTTTTAGTTTGTCCTTTTTCTTGTTTAAGAAGCAAGTTTTCATTTTTGACTCGTTCATTTTCTTGTCTGAGGAGTAAAAATTCTTTTATGACTTGTTCATTTTCTTGTCTGAGGAGTAAATTTTCTTTTCTGATCCGTTTATTTTTTTGCTTAAAGAGTAAATTTTCTTTTATGATCTGTTTATTTTTTTGATTAAAAAGTAAATTTTTATTTCTGGTTCATTGAAGGAGCAAATTTTCTTCTTCTATTTGATGCTTTTGGAGATTATTGTCATCATTTGTTTCATTTACTGAGTTATTCTGTTTATTTACTATGTTATTCATTTTAATTACTGGTTCTTCAGCATAATATATTACATGAATAAATTTATCATCGGGTAGATATTCATTGAATACTTCTTGAGTGGATTTAGTTTTAGACAATTCGATAATCAAATAGCAAACAAATAAAAATGTTGCAAGGCAAAATATATTGAAAAAATCCATTTTGCAATTTAATTTTAAGAAAATACAATTTCGCACTGTCTAAAAGTTACTTCTATTTGATTTTAAATAAATTCATTAAAATCCAACTTCTGCATAACTTATTCTTATGTATAACCCCAACAATAGTAAGAAAATTTGTTTATTATAATTCAAAAAAATCTAAAATTTTTTTTTTTTCTCGAGACCTGATTTTTGCAAATGTGCATTTGTGCATTATCATGCAGAATTTTTGAGGCTTAGTACACGTATTAGAACGTTGTTCTTTGTTAATAATAACATAATAATAATTATAAAAAAAAAAAAGAAAATTTTCTACATTTTCTCAAGACCTTGATTTTTCATAATGTGCATTATCACGCAGCACTTTGAGGTAATACGTACGTGTATTCAAATGCGCTTTGTTCTTTGTGGACAATTAGTTTACCGAATTTATTTTTTCTCAAGACCTGATTTTTCGCAAATATCGCAGCACTTTGAGGCTTAGTACGTACGTGTATTTTTTGTAGTACAATGCAATTAAGTGAATTAGACTACGTATAAAAATGTTAACCAAGTTCGAATAATGCAACATATAATCTAAATTATATATATTGTTTACCAAATTTATTTTTATATAATAAATTCGGTACCAAAACATAACTTAGTACTTCCAGAAATATAAAAACCGGTTTTTATATATAAAATTTATGAGTCATATCTCTTGAGTTTTATTTTCTTATAAAGTTTTTTTGGCTTGTAGAAGAAAAACTTGTTTACTAACTACGATACTTTAAATTCGACATTATCTATTAAAAAGAGTTTCAACTAGAGATGTGAACCAAACATTGAACAGATAATATAAATAATCTATGGGTTACTTTAAACCGGTGAATATCCATAGATTTAAAGTAACCCGTAGATTATTTATATTATTTAAAATTTACAGGTCGCATCACTATTTAGCATATTACGAATGTTATTAATAGTGATTTTTCACCATTAAGTGTTTTTTTATCTATTTGGAGTGTATATTCATATAACTTCGAAGCGAAATCATAAGAGGTCACTAGCCTTGTGTGAATTTTTTTTTAATTAACAATGCATGCTAGATCCACTTTTTAAAAATAATGCTAAAAAAAAGAATGTGAAATAGGGTAAGTTTCCTCATTGATTACTTGTCGAGTTATAGTATATCCAAAGTTATGCTGCCACATCAGTGCAATGAAATCTGATAGAAAATTGAAAGCGCATCAGACCAACCATTTGGTTAAACATTCTCTATTAGTTATCAATGTTCTTGTAGTACTGGCCCTGTCTGCGTTAAAGAGGACCTTTCTGTATTAAAATACTAGAAAGTGTGTATCTGGAAAGTTGGTGAATAAGATATACTCTAGCATTAAAGCATGTAACCGTTGACTATTCCGGCCATGTTCATTGTTAGTTGATAATTATGACGCAAGTTTTTAATAATAATTTTTCCCCAAAAAACAGATTCTCATTTGCCAATAAAGCAGCATTTCACCATTATTTACTAGAACTACTAGAAAATGGAATCTGTAAATTTATTGTTTAATCATTTTTATTATAAATATTAATACATAAATTTTTGGAATGGAATTGTTGCAATAATAATGAAGAAAATTTCTTTTAAATAAAAATTGATAAAAGATGAATGATTTAATTCGAGTAAAAAATAATAAATAAAAATTGACTAAATAATGGCTTAAAACTAGTGCTCAATGTTGAATAACTCAAGAGAGAACTGCTATTGAAAATTTCACCAGCAATTCTGACTAACGAAAAATTTCATGAACTTGACAAATACTATTATCTCGTACCAATGATAAAGTGGAAAAGTGATTGAGCCTCATCATCTAACCATAAATATCCAGATACTTTGCTAAAATCGTTCATTATTGCGATAGTGACAAAATATTCTAGATACTATTATTATTATATTAGGCTACCAAGAGGAAATTTTTATAGCAAATTGCAAATTTAGGAAATTTTTTTTCTAGCACTATTAACGAGGTTTTAATGAGGTTTTTTGACAGAATCTGAAAAGTTAGTAATTTTCTATACTCTGCCAAAAAAAACTTTGTTAAAGCCTCGCTAATAGCGCTAGAAAAAAAGATTTTCTAAATTTACGATTTGTTGTGAAAATTTCCTCTTGATGGCCTAATATATTAATAATATACTAGTATCTGGAATATTTTGTCGCTATCACAAAAAAGAACGATTTTAGCAAAGTAATAATATTTTTAATAAATAAGAAAGACCTGCTTATTGTTCTAATCTG